CCCATCTTTTTATTTAAAACTTTTTTTTTTTTTAAGAAAGCTGTCTACGTGTTCTTTTTTTAAAGATTTATTTATTATATATGAATACACTGTAGCTGTCTTCAGACACACCAGAAGAGGGCATCAGATCTCATTACAGATGGTTGTTAGCCACCATGTGGTTGCTGGGATTTGAACTCAGGACCTCTGGAAGTGCAGTCAGTGCTCTTAACCACTGAGCCATCTCTCCAGCCCTTAAAACTTTTTTTAATGTATGTCACAGGGCGGAGCATACACGTACCACAGTGCTCGTGTGGTGGTCAGGGGACAGCTTAGTGTCCTTGATTCTTTCCTTTAACTATGTGGGATTCTGGGACTCTAAATTCAGGTTGTCAGGTTGGTAGGGTAGGTGGTTTCACCCACAGGACCACCTTTACTTTTAGACTTCTAAAGGTGTGTTTGTGTGTGCTCCCCTGCATATTATGTTAGTGCATAACATGCATGAGGTGCCTCCTGAAGCTTAAGAGGGTGTTGGGTCCCCAGGAGTTGGATTACAGCTGGCTTTGAACCACCGTGTAGGCATTGTGAATCAAACCCAGGTCCTCTGTAAGAGCAAATGCTCGTAAGTGATGCGCTACCCTCTCTAGCTCCTTAACCCTTCTCCACTTTATCTTTTTAAGTTTGAAAGGTGGATTGATGTTGAACCAGGGTATTGATCAGATGGGTCCCAGGGGTCAAACTCAGGTTAGGCCTGCTGATAGATTCAAGGTTTGAATTACAGATCACATAAAAGTACAGAGGGCACAAAGCCTGTGGCTGTGTGGGATAGATAGCCATGGTTTAGAGGCTTCCTGCCTTCCACTGCTTGCCCTGTGTGGCTCTGGTCTCCTGCCTGGCTAGCGTGTATACTTCCTGCAAGTAGATTGAATTTCTGTTGAGGAGAGCTAGTTCTGTCTTTAAGTGAGGAGTAAGAGTCGTTTTTCTGACTATACTGTTTGTGGTAGGTAAGATGTCTGTCTGTGGTGGTTAGAATTGCAGTAGATAGATTGCACGGGTATAGTCCTAGGGAGGAACCATATGGAATTATATTCCTAAGGGTCCACTCTGTTCCCCTGCCCTATCTGTGGCTTTATGGGGTCTGACTACTCACAAGACAGAAAGAAACTGATGCATGGCAGTAGGCTTGGAAACCTACCTGTCTGGATTAATGGATGACTCCTCCAAGAGTCTAGCCTGGGTCAGAGAACTGCAGCAAAGGGCAGTTGTTGAAGCCCAAGGGATGGAATAGACCTTCCTTACACACATACACTCAGTGCTGCCCAGCCCTGACCAAGTGCTCTGAGCTGGAATTCTTTCTGTCCAGATTTGCTGTGGCTAGAGCCTTGCCATCTGCAGTCCAGAAGCCTGGCTCCTCAGGAGTTAAGTGGGTCAGTGCCTGATACCCGCCTGCCAGATCCAGCCTGAGATCACCAGACCAGAGTGGAGCAGGCAGAGGGTGGAGAGCTGGGATCCTATTAAGCAAAATATCTCAGTGTCTGGGGCGGGGCAGCCTCCTACGTGCCCAGATGCCCGTGCAGCTTCCCAGGATTCTAGACTCTTAGGCCAGCAGTGATCGCCTGTGCGAATAGTAAGCCTAGCTCCTATAGGAGTGCTGATTCTAGTCTCTGTCATAATTTTCTTTTTCCCTTGCACAAGGATAGCTCAGCCAAAGGATGTGTGCCTTCAAGACCTGCTTTGCTTTGCCATCAGCTGTGACTAGCCCACTGGGTACCCTGTGTCACCTTCTTCCCTTCAAGAGCTGGACGATGGGACCTGCCTGTCAGAGTGGCAATATTACTAGCCCAGGGCATTCCCCATCATGGTGAAGACTGTCTGCCACCCTGTGATGATGGGAAAACTGCCCCTGAGAAGGAAGGGCTGCTGTCTGTTCAGAGTCCTGGAGTGTGTGCTAGGGATGTAGTCTTACTTAGCCTATGAAGTTCCCGAGAGTCTGGTGGGGACCCATAGAATTTGTAGAAACCAATTGAACCAAGCAGAACAGAGTCTGGAGAAGTGGTCCTGGGTGACCTCAGGGTTGGGACAGGGTAGCTCTGACCTCTGTGGTTATGTTCTGGCCTCTCTCTGTTACTCCCAGTTCATGATAGAGGGGACAGGTCCTGGTGGGCCATTTCCCTGGAAAAGCGCTTGCTTGGAGGCCCTTCTTGCTTTGTGGTTTACCTCAACCCTTCGTTCCCTCTAGGCTAGAGACAACCTGGCACAGCTCTGGAAGACAGGCAGTAAAGTTCTGAGTTGGTTGGGACTATTTGGGTGTTGGCTTAGGCAGGGACATGGAGGATGGCTGAAGGCAGCCTGCCGGGGTGAGCCCAGCTGCAGCACAGCTCACAGAGCTGGGCGTGTTTCTTGGGCCTTGGCTGGAGGCTCGTGGGAATCAAGCACAGAAGCAGGAGCTCGTACAGGCCTGAGAGGCCCACCAAGACGGTGCTGCTAGGAGAGGACTGAAGCCGGTGCTCAGGCCTGGGGGTAGCACTCGGTCTCTTTGCACAGTAGGTCTGAGTGGAACAAGCTGGCTGTTGTGAGCCGTGCACCTTGCTCTATGCTGAGGTCTTTTTTGTGTAGATGCTGAAGGCCTGTGGTTCACCAGCAGCTCTGCTCTACTGTGTCAGGATAAGTTTAGGGGAGCTGACTGCTGCCAGTAGCCCTTGGTTAGGAATCCTGGCTTCAAAGCTCTAAGGGAGGTATACCATCTTGGTCTTCCCAGATCTTTTGTCTGACCTTGTCACTGTCCCTACTTCTCCTAGCTGGGTGGGTGAGTTTGGGGCTCTGGGATAGATCATGTCCTAATAATATGACAGGCTGGGTCTCTACCTTCCACCCTCTGGTGTGTGTGTGTGTGTGTGTGTGTGTGTGTGTGTGTGTGTGTGTATGTCTGTGTGTCTGTCTGTCTGTCTTTCTGTCTTTCTGTGTCCCCACAGCAAGTGGCATCAGAAGCGCCTCTTGCTTCTTGGGCTGTATGCTGAAGCCACTGAGACAAGCCCTCTGTGATACAGAAGGGAGCAGGGTGTGTGCAGTGTGGCTGTTTATGGGTCCTTATCTCTGTCACCTTTGCTGTGCCCTAGCCCTCCCCCAGCTCTCACAGCAGTCAAGCTGAAGGGGCCACGTTGCTGTTTCTTCATTTTGGTCCCCATCCTACCTGGACTTTGTCCCTCCATCCTCAGCCCCTAACCTCCTTCCTATTCTGTTTCCCTGAGCCTGCCTCTGTGGTTCCAGACCGTGGACTTCACAGAACATCCCCTGCCTCAGAGTATCCTTCCCCTGAAGCTGACCTGGAAGGCAGAGGCAGGAGTGGAACCAAATGGGGCCAAGCCATGGCTCCTCATCTAGGGCAGGGCAGGAAAGTTCTGGCAGGGACTTGGGGTCTTGGTATACAGGCCTTCATGAAGCAGTCTAGGCTCATTTTTGTAAATAGGGTCCCTCCCACCTAGGCTACACCCAGTCAGTCACTCTTGGGAACACACAGCTGTGGGACAGCCAGGCTGCCTGAACACACTTCTTAGCTCCCTTACCTCTCTGGTGCAGCTCTGGTGCACATGAGTGGGCTCTTTCCACATTCATTCGCATTCTCGGTGTTTAGATACTCTGTTCGTCGTTCACAGGATGCTCATGTGTAGGCACTAGCCTTTGGAACTGGAAAGCTGAGCTGAAGTTGAGGGGAGGTCATGAGTGTCTGAATACATATTTGGGGCAGCTGACTAGTGGAACAGGTTAACATTGGCTGCTGTGCTGGGGTTATCTGGGGACGAGGGTGTCTGTCCACCATTTGGCTCTCATACGCTATGAGAAGGGCTCTTTTTGTAGTCCTTTCTTGGTCTAGGCCCTAGAAGAGAGATTTGAGGTGCCTCATATCTCTCCAACTGCAGCTGAGTTCCTAAGGAGCAAGGAGTTACCTCCTTGAGTGCTGTGGGGATGAGGTGGGGCCTTTGCTTTTTGCTGTGGGCTATATAGCAGGGCGGTCCTTTTTCCTGTGGTTCCCAAGGCTTGCTCTACCCAGCTGGCAGCTACATCTCAGGGATCATGCAACCTGCAGAAGGGACTGTAGGTTGTTTAGTCCCAGCCTGACTGGCTTGATTACACCCTTCCATTCCCCCCAGGTCCTAAGTTTCTTGTCAGTGAAAAGGTGAGAGTGGTGGTTGTTGTGGCTATGAGGAGTGGTTTGCTAGGGGAGGCACCACGGTTTGGGGCTTGGCCTGCCAGATGGGTAGACTCCTTTTACAGCAGGCTGTTAGTGTTGGGTAATTGATTAGACAAGGGATCGTATTGGTACCCAGTGAGGGGCTGTCTAAGTTTGAGAGAGCAGTGGAGGGAGAAGACCAGGATGCCTCCTTCTGAGAAGTCTGCATTAGGCTCTAAAGCCCCACCAGGCAAGAGCCAGACAGCCTTTTTGCTGACTCAGCTTGACAACACCAGTCTATTATCTGTTTTGTGAACTCCAGAGCGCGGAGCAGAATAGATCTTGGGCCTAAGAGTCAAAGCCAGTTCCCTGTGAACATGAGTCCCCTTCATAGGTAATGGTCCATGTACACATCAGCCCTTTCCTACCCTGAACCTTATAGAGATCCTCAGACCTGGGGTCTGAGACACCGAGGCCATGTTTGGTGTGACCATGAAACAAGTATGTACACCCCAGGCCTCTTGCCACAGATGTCCTATTTCCTGGACTGAGTCCTGGCCATGTTCACTCTGCCTCAAGCCCTGTAGGTAATGACATGTTGAAAGTGCCTGTGGTCCCGTGTACCAAGGGCTCTTCCCAGAAATAAATGTCCAATGAGAGACTATGCAAGGTATTCTCCCAGTCTTTTTTTTTTTTTTTTTTTTTTTTTTTGGTGGTTTTTTTTTTTTTTTTTTTTTTTCAGAGCTGAGGACCGAACCCAGGGCCTTGCGCTTGCTAGGCAAGCGCTCTACCACTGAGCTAAATCCCCAACCCCGTATTCTCCCAGTCTTAAATGGCTTGTTCTGTCTTACAGGAAATGGCCAATTCCGTCTACCTGGTCATGGAGGTGAGTTCTCATGGGGCCAGGGCAAGCACAGGGCCCAGTAGGATGGGCATAGGTGGGTATAAGCACGCACTATTGATATTTCTAGCTGGGATTTTGGGAATACCTGCACTGGACAGGTCCAAAAAACTGTTATGGAGAATAAAGGGTCTGAGTCAGGCTGGAGACTCTTTGTCCGTGTTCTCATGATGCATCCCTTGTCTTTTGCAGTATTGTAATGGTGGAGACCTGGCTGACTACCTGCACAGTGAGTAGCCACACCCCCTGGGCTCTGTTTCTAGCCTGAAATGCTGCAGCTAGATCTGCCCCCTGCTTCGTTGTGACCTCTATCCTCCTGCTTTGGGGCTGTACAGGAAGTGACCCAGCTCTTTCAGGCTCATCGGCCTGCCCACCCTCAGCTATTTGTGAAGCGTATCCCATGTGCTGGGTGGGGTGGGTTAAGCAGAATCATCAAGCTCTGCTGTTTTGGCAGAGTTAAGGACACAGGCCAGGGTAGGTGGCTCTGAGCAAGCACTGGCAGGCACACACAGAGATGGTTTGCAGTTTTTATGGTAGGGCAAAGGAGCAGCTTTAGAGTCTGTGTGTGCAGCTGAGCCAAGAGATCTGTCTCTATGGGAGGATCTGGTGGGTACAGACTACGAGGTGCTCCCAGCAGAGCTTCAGGCAGCAGGAGAGCTCAGGACCCACGGAAAGACAGCAAGTGGCTGGGTTGTGATGAGCAGAGTGAAGGAGCATCAATATCTCTTCCATGGGTGCTCTGAGGAGGGCTGGGGAAAGAAAGGCAAGTGGAATGAATGTAGGGCTCTTGTCTCAAGGCCTAGAAGGATGCAGTGGCTGTCCATGACTGTCATCAGAATGCTTTACCCTGGCAAACAGAAGGCAGTAGGGATTGATGGCTCAAACCAGCCCCACCCAGATGATGTCTTCTGGCTCAGGCTGTGACAGAAGTGACAGCCCCTTAGCCTCCTTCTAAGGGTAGGGACTCCCCCTGAGCACCTTTCTCCAGAGGGACACAGGCATTTAGAGCAGTCTCCTGTTGTTTGAGTCTTCCCTCTACTGCAGCCTCTGGACACTTTCCCAGACTGTGTCACTGTCTTCTGGGTGAGCCGCCAGAGAAGACCCCGGATCTGGGAGGACCCTGTGTAGTCTGCTGATGGATCAGTTGTAGTAGGTGTAGAAGTGCTGTCTTTAGGCTCCTGGCCTGTTAGTTCACTGTGTGCTCAAGTTCACGTGGCTAAGCCATGCTGGGCTTTGCCCACTCAGTATTTGTTCCTGTCCCCTGGGGCAGCCACACATCATGCTGCACCATGACCTTCAGTAGTTGGGTGGTTCCTGGCAAGGCTCCAGGCTCCACAGGTGTCTGTGGGGGAGGAAAGGGTGACCAGGCCAGTCCAAGGCTGACCTGTAACTTTGAGTGTCTCAGAGTGCTCACAAGATGCCCTATGCATGTGTGTGTTTGAGCTCCCGTGAAGGCTCCCTAAACCGCCCACCTGTCAAGTGATGGGGCTGTTGTGAGCTGGTGACCCAACAAAAGGGGTTGGGCAGCCCAGACTGGAATGAATGTTTATTCTCACTTGGTATGTGCCGAGTGTAGTTCTAAGGTGTACTTGTTTTGGAGTCATCCTGCCCTGTTCTGCTGAGTTACTGTTGGAGAAGCCTGTGCCCAGTTGAGCTTGAATACATAGAACTCAGGGCTCTGCCTCAAGTTCACATACCCATTGTTTGCAATTTGCTTTTTTAAAGAAATACTTCTGCCAGGCATTTGAGGCTCAGGTCTTTAATCCCAGCAATCTGGAGGCAGAGGCAGACAGATCTCTGAGTTCAAGGCTAGGCTGGTCTACAGAGTGAATTCCAGGACAGCTAGGGCTACACACAGTAAAACCCTGTGTGGAAAAACCAAAACAGAGAAAGAGGAGAGAGAAAGAGAAAGAGAGAGAAGATAAAAACCTTTGAATTTTATGTGTATGAGTGTTTTGTCTGTCATGAAGGCCACGTGCACACATCATACCTTCCAGAGGGTATTGGAAACCCTGGTACTGGAGTTACAGATGGTGGGGAGCCACCATGTGGGTGATAAGAAGCAAACTTAGGTTCTCTTCGAGAGTAGTGAATGCTCTTAACTGCTGAGCATCTCTTTGGCCCCTGTATCTACTTTCACTTAGACTTTTTTGGAAGCCACTGTGGTCTAGGGGGCAAAAGACCTACCCCAGAACTAGGGACTAAGTCTAGTGACTGATTTGCCATAGGGGTTGGGAAGATCAAGGAAGTGTCCCAATGGGGAAGTAGAAACAACAGGAGCAGGGTGCTTTCATCAGCCAAGAGCTGGCTGTGCAGAGTTGTGTGGAAGGGGGAGTCCTACAAGGCTGTGTAGGAAGAGGGAAGGTGGACCAGCTTGTGGAAGTTGCAAGACAAGCTGGCCTTGGTGCCGCATGGTTTGGCCCTGTGTACTGGAGGGCCTCTGTAGAGTGGTGCTGGTGCTTAGCTCCTGCAGCTGTCTTTTCACACAGCCATGTACACTCCTGTGTCTCCAGAGGGAGACCATGGTGTCCCAAGTCTCCTGAGCCTACTTTTTCTTAACAGCTATGCGCACACTGAGTGAAGACACTGTCAGGCTGTTCCTACAACAGATTGCTGGTGCCATGCAGCTGTTACACAGCAAGGGCATCATTCATCGTGATTTGAAGCCCCAGAACATTCTGCTATCCAATCCCGGGGGTCGCCGTGCCAACCCCAGCAACATCCGAGTCAAGATTGGTGAGATGTGTTTGGGTGGTGGCTCCCTGAGAGACTGCAGTAGGGGACTCTGCCCACAGAAATTTCAGATCAAGCCATCTGGGTACTTCTCCTGCAGCTGACTTTGGATTTGCCCGGTACCTCCAGAGCAACATGATGGCAGCCACACTCTGTGGTTCTCCTATGTACATGGTATGTACCCACTCCTGGTCCAGGACTACTTAAATCCAACACCAAGCATCCTGATGTTGCAGACAGAGCTGGGGTCAGCCTCCAACCTGACACCCTTTGTAGGAATGTCAGACCCTCTAAGGATCAGCTATGGCCTCATTTTGGGTTGTAGACAGTTGTGCACTATTTTATTGTGTCAGAACTGGCTGGTGGGTACTTGCGTGTTCTGTGTTGGTTGCTTAGTGCCTAGCAGGTACCTTCTCGAATTTGCTGATGCCTAGCACCTGTTACTGGTTATTGTACGCTGCTGTACAGTAGTGCTGATCCATATTGTCGCCCTGTAGGCCCCTGAGGTCATCATGTCCCAGCACTACGATGGGAAGGCCGACCTGTGGAGCATTGGCACCATTGTCTACCAGTGTCTGACAGGGAAGGCCCCCTTTCAGGTGAGTGATCCCCATGACACTAAGGTGAATCCCCAAAGCCCTAGAGGGTAAGGTTCAGTTTGAGTAGCATTCAGGATAGGATCCTCAGGATGGAAGAGTACAGGGTTACCAGATGGGGAATCAGTTTGAGATTATAGGTACCAGGCTTGGTGGCTAACCTGTAGTCTCTCTGTGAAAGCCCTTATCATAGCCTGTTCCATGGGTCGCCTTATTAGTGGTCAGGTAGCCCTAGGCCATGACCAGTCAATCCTGTTCGCCTAACACAATAACCATCTTACCTAGGGCTTAGGCCAAACCTCAATATTTGGTAAGTTAAAGGTCACCTCTGCTATGACCTCCATCAGAGGTCAGAGTCTTGTCTGGTTATGGATACACTGGGTTAAGTCTCCTGACCTTCTACCCAACATAATAAGTATATCTTGCCTGGAAGCAAAGTGTGCATCAAGGAGAATTTGAGAAACAAGAGCTATGTTGTTCTTGGCAAGAAGTGGTATTGATGCCTGTAGTGACCCCAAACTGATAGGCCTGGCATAGCTCCTACTAGCGAACATTGACTGACTTCAGATCAGGATCTAACCCCACTCACTGCCTATCACTAGGAGCTCAACCCTTGAGCCTTCCTGATGTGTCCCCAAATGATTCTTAGTGAGGGATTCCATCCTCAGCTCTGGGATATATACCCAACCATGGCAACTCCTTTTTCAGTTGGAGGGTCTAATGACTCCTGTGTCACTGACTTTCTGTTGTCCTTGTGTGGGCATAGCACATGAGCTGCCCAGTGGTCCTCTCCCTGGGATGGCTGGGGATGAAGGTACTTGAGGAGTTAGACAGGTGGCGGGGCCCTGTGGTAATAGGTAGGTACTGCACAAGTCTGAACTTTTTCATTGCTATCTCAACAGGCCAGCAGCCCTCAGGATTTGCGCCTGTTTTATGAGAAGAACAAGACACTAGTTCCTGCGTAAGCAGCCTTCCTTTCTTCCCAAGGTAGGTCCACCCTGGCACCCACAAACTTCTCAAAATGCATCTGCTCTTTCTCCCAGTATCCCACGGGAGACATCAGCTCCCCTGCGGCAGCTGCTCCTGGCTCTGTTGCAGCGTAACCACAAGGACCGAATGGACTTTGGTGAGCACAGGTCACCTGGCACCCTGCCCACTTAGCCACCCTCTTTGTCTTGGGTATTACCTTTAGCTACCATTATGTTAGCTGGTCTGAGCACCCAGGCACCTATGGTCTACCAGCTGCAGCCAGCCTACAGGGCCACTGTGTTGTGCTCCTCCCAAGCTCAGCAAGGCCAGCAGGCTGAATCCTGCTGAAATGGGGGGTCAGCTGTTCTCCAAAGCCATTTTCTGGGGCCCTGACTCTCTAGGTAGCTAGGCCCTGGCCTTGACACCCAGGGCTCTGGGGTGAGTCTGTCTGGGTCAGGGGCATCAAGATAATTCACTCCTTTTATCCACAGATGAATTTTTCCACCACCCTTTCTTAGATGCCAGCACCCCCATCAAGAAGTGTGAGTTTCTGGCAGTCTTGGGCACAGACAGGGCTTGTGACATGCTCTCCGATGTCTGTAGGTGCCACATTGCTATCTTGGGAGATACTCTGGAAAGGTGGAATGCCTCATTCTGCCTCTTCTTCAAGGCCATGTGTACCTGGGTGGCTCTGCTGTCATGGGCTCAGGGGCACTGCAGGTACCAGTGCAGGGTGGTATAACCTGATACTGGCTGCTTGTCACTGTGGTGGGAACTGGAGTGCTGCTGTCAGTCAAAGGCAGCCATGTCTGCAAAGCTGCAGCAGTGTGCCCACTGATCCACATCCCTCTTGCAGCCCCACCTGTGCCTGTGCCCTCATATCCAAGCTCAGGGTCCGGCAGCAGCTCCAGCAGCAGCTCTGCCTCCCACCTGGCCTCTCCACCGGTGAGTATGATCTGTGTAGCGTCTATCCTGCATCACTAGGGAAGGGATCTCCTCTCATTGATGCTCAGTGAGCTTGCTGTGAATGTCTAACTGTTGAGTAGTATTTGGTTGGACAGTAATAAGCTAATGTCTGGGTTTGGTCCAGTCCTCTCCCATAACTGGAAGCAGGTTCTGTAGTCTGTGTCTGGTAGTAGAGGCTCAACATGTTGGTGCTCATTCTGTGAGAAGTCTGGCCCACAGCTTTGCCAAGCACTGTCACTTGCCCAGGGGACCTGGAAGTGTTTGTCTGTGGTGCCAGGTTGGTGCTGGTTTACAGTGGTACCTTCCTCACAGTGATACTCTCTGCCATCTGATTTGTTACTATGTAGGAATGGATTGGTAGGGTGCAAAGGTGGCGAACACTGCCCAGACCTGGATTCTACATGACTGACTAGGAGCAAGGCTCCCAAGCAGTCTGTGTATAAACCCCGCACTCACCTAAAGAGGAGCTTCTCTTTACTGTGTGAAAGAAAGCTCTGCTGTGCTGCAGAGAAAGTCCAAGCCCAACTCCCTTACCATGGTCTGCTCCATTACTGGGGAGGTTGATTGCCTGTGGACTCAGTTTACCAGCCCCATTCCATTCTACAGTCCCTGGGGGAGATGCCACAGCTGCAGAAGACCCTTACCTCCCCAGCCGATGCTGCTGGCTTTCTGCAGGGCTCACGGGACTCTGGTGGGAGCAGCAAAGATTCCTGTGACACAGATGACTTTGTCATGGTCCCAGCCCAGTTTCCAGGTCAGACCCTCTCAAAAGTATTTGTTGGGCATGGGTTGGGTGAGTGGAGCGTAGTGGAGTTGTCAGACAACTCTGGGTACATGCACATGATTTGAGCATGGTCATGGAGTCCTTTGTATTTGTGAGCAAGAGGTTCAGCTCTATCTCCGTATGGACAGTTGGAATGGGTTTCTAGAACACAAAGGTGGCTGAGAAGGGCTGCCGTTCACGTCTGTCCTGGAGTAGACTGCTTGCACTGGGACCCTAGAAAGCCACTTTATTAGCATGTAGCTGCACTGCTCCGACTGCAAACTCCAGTGAGAAGAGGGGCATTGGAGAGCCAGAGAGAAGGTCAGGTGAGCCAAGGAGAGCAGAGTACACCTTGACCAGATACCATCTTCTCTCACAGGTGATCTAGTCGCTGAGGCAGCCAGTGCCAAGCCCCCACCTGATAGCCTGCTGTGTAGTGGGTGAGTGAGTCCCTCTTGACCTCTGCCCAGCGATGATAAGTTGGGCCTTTAGGGGAGCCAGCACTATCCTGCCTGGCCCAGTCTTGACTGGGAGTAAAGCCATTTGGGAAGGACTAAGGCTGTTGGGGGTGGGGGGTGGGGAGCTTGTTGAGGGAATTTAGAATCTGAATGCATGTATCAACCTAAAGGTGTCTATCTGTCCCTTCTGCCACCAGGAGCTCACTGGTCGCCTCTGCTGGCCTAGAGAGCCACGGCCGCACCCCATCTCCCTCTCCAACCTGCAGCAGCTCTCCCAGCCCCTCTGGGTAAGCATAAATAGGCATCAGTGACACTCAGCATCATGGCCACCCTTTTTAGCATGATCTGTTGTATCTACCTAAAAGCTCCTGTGTTTGCTCAGTGGATGTCCCACTGAAGGCCTGTTGAAGTGTGGATGGGTTGATGAGGGGACCAACTGAGAATACTGCTTTCAGGACCTTTGCTAGGTTAGATTAGAGGCAACAAATATGTGGGGGTGACACAGATACAGTTTTGGGTTGTTACAGTGTTGCAGTAGCCAGCTGTCTTCAGGCCTGGCCAAAGTTGAAACTTTCTACCAAAATGTCCGGGGCTGAGCTTCTTTTCAGTGCTATCTGTAATGGTTACCCTCTTTCCTCAGCCGGCCTGGCCCTTTCTCCAGCAACAGGTACGGTGCCTCGGTCCCCATTCCTGTCCCCACTCAGGTGCACAACTACCAGCGCATCGAGCAGAACCTGCAGTCGCCAACTCAACAGCAGACAGGCCGGTTAGTGTCCCTGACTTTAGTGAGGGTCCTGCCACTATTGTGGACAGCCATTGCTGACAAGTTGCAGAATTCCTGTAACTTCCCAGGGCTCCCAAGCTCATTAAACCCATCTTATCAGCAAGCTGTGTTAGTCAGTGGTAGGGTTGGGTGAGGGTTTCATGTAAACTACAGGAGCAAGATGGTGACTGTAAGCCAGCATAGCCAAGGAAAATCTGCCTGAGGCCTTAAGTGGTGTGATGAGACTTCAGCTGCCCTGGCTCTGTTTGCAGGTCCTCTGCCATCCGAAGGTCAGGTAGCACTAGCCCCCTGGGGTTTGGTCGTGCCAGCCCATCACCCCCCTCCCACACTGATGGAGCCATGCTGGCCAGGAAGCTGTCACTAGGAGGTGGCCGTCCCTACACACCCTCTCCCCAAGGTCAGTAAGTCTTAGGATGGGAACTGGTCGGTATTCCCTTCCCATCTGTGGGTGGGTAGATGTGATAACCCCCTCTGTTTGCTATGGTCTGATCTAGCCACCCTTTTCCTACCAGTGGGAACCATCCCAGAACGGCCCAGCTGGAGCAGAGTGCCCTCTCCACAAGGAGCGGATGTTCGGGCTGGCAGGTCGCCACGACCAGGTAGGCGTGGCACAGTCCCAGACCAGAGTGTCTGTAGAGCAGGAATGGGGCAATAGCTGACCTGCTTGTGTGGGGCCTCCCTCCTATTGTCAGGGAGAAAGTGGGGAGGACTGCCACAGTCTAGCATCAACCTTTGAATGTCTCCTGCCTTGTATTCCACAACTGTGTGGCTTTGGACAGATTACTAAGCCTTTCTGTGCCTGTTATATAGAGGCTTTCTGAAGTAGCTGTAAGGTTTCTGTTTTTGTTTTTGTTTTTTGGGGGGTTTCGAGACAGGGTTTCTCTGTGTAGCCCTGGCTGTCCTGGAACTCACTCTGTAGACCAGGCTGGCCTCAAACTCAGAAATCCTACTGCCTCTGCCTCCCAAGTGCTGGGATTAAAGGTGTGTGCCACCACCACCCAACAGCTGTAAGGATTCTTGTGTTCCACAAGAGTGGATCCACAGACTGGTTGTCCAGAGGCCTTTAGTGGGGCAATGGCTTATTTAGTACATATTCTAGTGTGCCTCTCTGAGGGACCTGAGGGTAGTAATGCAGCCTGTTCCTGTTCCCAGGCTCCTCTGTGCCTGAGCACTCTCCAAGAACCACCGGGCTGGGCTGCCGCCTGCACAGTGCCCCCAACCTGTCCGACTTCCATGTTGTGCGTCCCAAGCTGCCTAAGCCCCCGACAGACCCACTGGGAGCCACTTTCATCCCACCCCAGACAAGCACACCCCAGCCATGCCCAGGGTTACAGTCTTGCCGGCCACTGCGTGGCTCACCTAAGCTGCCTGACTTCCTACAGCGGAGTCCCCTACCGCCCATCCTAGGCTCCCCTACCAAGGTAATAGCTTCTAGGAGGGACTGAGCTCTGGTGGGAGATATGGGGTGGGAAAGGATCTGGTCTTTCTGTGTTTGGGCTGCCTGTTGGGCTTCATCCTCAGGCTGCTTCCCTGGCAATGCCTAGTGGGCTTAGGGCAGGGAGATTAGAAGAGCTGGTTCCTATGGGAAGCCTGTGGCCCTAGTGGCCTCTCACCCTTACTCTGTGAGGGACGCCTCACAAGATTGGGATTGCTGGCTTCCCTGACTGGCCCTGCAGTTTGTCTTTGGGAAGAAAACCTGGGCCCCGTGTCTCTTTGCTAAACTGTGGCTGCCTCCCTGTGGTAGCGTGCTACCACTGGGTGTTAGGTGTTTAGTAATATCTGTAGGATGGTGTGGGTACAGGAAAGATATCTCAGACTAGGCATGGTGCCACATACCTATTATTAGCCCAGCTTTTGGAAGGATCTGAATCAAAGAGTGTCACAAGTCGAGCTTGTCACCTCAGAGGGATTGTGTAGTTCTGTTTGTCTTAGTTTTCCTTTTTTGAAAAAAAGGGGTCCCAGACAGCAGCAGCACCTCTTGATGTAAAAGCCTGTTCCTATGTCCTCAGTTTTGGTCTGGAGAGAAGGATTTCCTCAGTGGCCCATCTTGTGCTTTGGTTTCTGAGGTCTCCCAGTCCATTGGACTTCTCCATACTGTCCTTCCTTCCCTCCTAGGCTGGGCCCTCGTTTGACTTCCCCAAAGCCCCCAGCTCTCAGAATTTGCTGACCCTGTTGGCTAGGCAGGGTGTAGTAATGACACCACCTCGGAACCGTACACTGCCTGACCTCTCAGAAGCGGGGCCTTTCCAGGGCCAGCAGCTAGGCTCTGGCCTTCGGCCTGCTGAAGACACCAGGGGCCCCTTTGGCCGGTAAGTGGAGTGGGAAGTCTGTGCTCAGGAGCTGCCCTCCCTACCATTTCTGACCCAGATCATCTTGTGCTGCTGGCTGCCCAGTGTGGCAGGTGTTGGAGATCTGTGGTGAGCACTTGTGCTCCAGCCTTTTTCCTTGTTTAATAGATTTGAGAAGCCAGTTAAAGAACTGAAGCTCCATCCTGAGTTATGAGTCTAGTTATGCCTGGCCTGAGGAAGGGTTGTGTGCAGAAATAGGGCCCCAGCTGTCTGGCCCACATTACTGCCCCCCCACCCCCAGGTCCTTTAGCACCAGCCGCCTTACGGACTTGCTGCTTAAGGCTGCATTTGGGACTCAGGCCTCCGACTCAGGCAGCACCGACAGCCTACAGGAGAAACCTATGGAGATTGGTATGTGAGGGGTCTGTGGGGTTTCTTGTGGATCCGCTGGTCCTGACCCATCCCTGATCCTGGCTTGTTCTTCAGCTCCCTCTGCTGGCTTTGGAGGGACTCTGCATCCAGGAGCTCGTGCTGGAGGGGCCAGCAGCCCAGCACCTGTGGTATTTACTGTGGGCTCCCCGCCCAGTGGTACCACCCCACCCCAGAGTACCCGCACCAGAATGTTCTCAGGTAAGGTCTGGCCAAGGAAAATAGCACGTATGGTGGGGATTTTCGAAGGCAAACTCTTGTTGAGTAACAGTCCTAGAAAGCAGAGACCATAAAGTATGTGGCATTTCCAGCATGTACATGGAGCAGTGATGGTAACCAAGATGCTAGTTTCCATGTCCAGCTGCACTGAAAAGCCAGCCTGTGTTGGCTGGAGTCCTGGGCTCCCAGATCTATGAGGGTACTACCATCTTGAGGCAGATGGGGAGCTAGAGTGCTCCAATGTGGAGCCCTGGGGCTGCTACTACCCTTGACTGTGTTCCTTATTAAAGCATGAGGATAAGGAAGTGTGTGAACTGAGGTACATCTGAACTTCAGAGATGGAGTTCAGAGTGCCAAAGGTTGCAGGGTGAGAAGCAGGCAGGCTGCCTGTCCCTTACCCGCCATCTACCTACAGTGGGCTCTTCCAGCTCCCTGGGCTCTACTGGCTCCTCCTCTGCCCGCCACTTAGTGCCTGGGGCCTGTGGAGAGGCCCAGGAGCTTTCTGCCCCAGGCCACTGCTGTAGCCTTGCTGACCCTCTTGCTGCCAACTTGGAGGGGGCTGTGACCTTCGAGGCTCCTGACCTTCCAGAGGAGACCCTCATGGAGGTGAGGCTTGTGGGAGAGGTGACAAACATGGGTGCTTCCTGCTAACTTGCCTACTCAACGCTTGGGAACAGTGCCTCTCTGGCAGATCAACCTTTCAGCCCTACTATACTCCACACTTGTGTGTCCCAGGCTCTGACCTTTATTGCTTCCTCAGCAAGAGCACACGGAAACCCTACACAGTCTGCGTTTCACACTAGCGTTTGCACAGCAAGTTCTGGAGATTGCAGCCTTGAAGGGGAATGTCAGTGAGGCAGCCGGGGGCCCTGAGTACCAGCTCCAGGAGAGTGTGGTGGCTGACCAGATCAGTCTTTTGAGCCAAGAGTGGGGGTAGGTATTGTCTGGGGATGGGGAAGAGGGCTGTTGGGCATTTCTGCATCTGACTTGCCTCTGACCCGTTTGTTTCTCTGTAGCTTTGCAGAGCAACTGGTTCTGTACTTGAAGGTGGCTGAGCTGCTGTCGTCAGGCCTCCAGACTGCCATTGACCAGATTCGGGCTGGGAAGCTCTGCCTTTCCTCTACTGTGAAGCAGGGTGAGGAAGCGGGCTCAGGGAGGTGGTGCTGGGGTGAGAGTGAGCAAGCCTGAGGCGGGAGCGTAAGGCCACATGGGTAGGCCCAGGCCAAGTCAGGGAGCAGTCAGTAGAGTGAATACACAGGCCTGGCCTCATGTTCAGAGCACAGAGTAAATATATGGGCCTACCCAGGACAAGCTGCTTGGATTGATGTTGATCTTGCTGTAGCTGGTGGGGTTATAGCTCCTGTGCATACAGGTGGAGCACGTTCTTTCACCTGTGCGCTTTCCTGTGAGGGTCTGTGGGGTCCTGTGTTCCCTGGGACCTGAGATGACTGGCACTTCCACCCTAGTGGTACGGAGACTAAATGAGCTGTACAAGGCCAGCGTGATGTCCTGCCAGAGCCTCAGCTTGCGTCTTCAGCGCTTCTTTCTGGACAAACAACGGCTGCTGGATGGGATCCATGGTGTCACTGCAGAGCGACTTATCCTTAGCCATGCAGTGCAGATGGTATGGGGCAATCTGTGTGCGGCTGTGGCAGGGCTTAGGACATTTTTCCTAGGTCCCAGGGGCCAGGACTCTGAAGTTAGGTGTGATATTCTCCTCACTGTGCAGCTTATCAGCTGGGGTAGCATCCTAGCCCTCTCCCTGAGGTTCAGTTTCCTCAGCTAACACGGAAGGCCTTTTTGTGAGGAGTACACTCTGGTTTTGGGTCTGAGGCAGTGTTTCTGCTCTGACATACGTGATTCAGATGTTCCTCACATGGGGAGCATGTCTGCTAAAGGAAGGGCCTCCCCCATCCATCTCTTCCTTTCTGAGTTGGCTGTGACCCATTTACTGATCAGTTTCATTGTCAGCCACAGTGGTAGGAATGGCACTCAGTGGGTGCTTTGCACCCTGTAAGCAGTGCCCCTTTGCTCGCCCTGGGAGAGGGCTTGTATACAGACCAATCAGACAACACAGTGACCACCATGCAAGCAGGCCATGTGGCTCTGTGACCATCTGTAGCTAATTCCTGAGCCCTTATTTTATGCTCACAACATGACTACAAATGAAGCTGGACAGATCTGCAGTGTGCCAAGCAGTTGGGCCCCCCGTCCTGCCCCAGCCCTGCCCAGTTTTGTTGTTGCCTATAGGTACAATCAGCCGCCCTTGATGAGATGTTCCAGCACCGAGAGGGCTGTGTACCGCGATATCACAAAGCCCTGCTACTGTTGGAGGGGCTGCAGCACACTCTGACAGACCAGGCAGACATTGAGAACATTGCCAAATGTGAGTATCTTTCCCTGCAGCCTGAGTGGGGTGGTAGGTGTGGCCTCCCTGCCTCATGCTCTCTCCTCCACAGGCAAGCTGTGCATTGAGAGGAGACTCTCCGCCCTGTTGAGTGGCGTCTATGCCTGACTACCTGCTGGCGACCTGCAGGGTACGGTCTGAGACCTGGCGCACTGTCCTCAACACTGATCTGAAGGTGCTGAGGCTGCTGCCAGCCAATTCCAGCAGGGATGCTACACGGTGGACCTGTGCAGACTGGTGCAACTCCTGCTTCCTAGGCTGCCAGTCTCTCCTGGCAGGTAGACATCAGAGTGCCAGGGACAGTTGTATTGCCCACTGGGACAGGAATTTCTGAACTTACTCTTCCCAGCTGGCTCCCCTGGCAAGCAGGTGTGGCACCGAGAGGTGGTAGGCTGATGCGTGTGAGCACCTGCCACCCGCAGAGGCCAAAGCAGCCCTGTAGACCTGCAAGGGCCTAAGACTGTTGCTGACTCCAAGCCAAAGCAAGCTTTTTCTCACAGTTCACTTGCCCCATTGCTCGTCCAAGAAAAAAGGGTATGGTCTTCTGGCCTCCTGATCTCTCTAGGAACTTCTCCCTCTGAGACTACCCACCCAGCTTTGTAAGTCACCGGAGCACTTTATGCATACAGAGACTGGAGAACCTAGCCAGCAGTGCAGACTGCTGGGAATCTGCCTCCTGTTCCCGGCTTTCGTCCTCCAAGACGCTGTATAGATGCAGACCATGTCTTCGTGTATAAAAGCCCAGTGTTCACCTCCTCCTGTGTCTGGTCTTCGGAGGAAAGCAACAGGCTTGTCTCCTGAGGGAGGCAGTCCTCATGTTTAAATGTTCATTAGGGACAGTCATCGTGTGAAGCACCCTGCTTTTTAAACTCCTCAGCTTCCTAAGATGTGTCCTCACTCTCCCATCTCAGTTTTTCTTCATAAAAGGAAACTTCAGATGTTTAAGGATTGGAAGGGTGAAGGCAGGGCAGGCAAGCATCACACTGGATGTTGCCCTTGTAGGAGACGGTGCAGGCTGTGTGGCCAAGGCTGTAGTGTGTCCTGAGTGAGTGTGGCAAAGGCTGCTGTGTGTCCTGAGTGAGTGTGGACAAGGCTATTGTGTGCCTGATTGAGTGTTCCTCTGGCCATCTATTAACTCCTTGTAAGGATGACAGAGAGGGCAGTGCCCGACTCTGTCCCCCCATGCAATGGCCAGGTGTGGGTGAAGAATAACATATGCAAACAGGTCCCCTGTGGAGCTTTTGTGTCAGTCTGGCTCCTGTGCTTGGTGGCTTCAGGGTCTGTGCTGAAGCCTGTCTTCCAGGCTCCAGGGTGGACACAGCTAATACCTTCCCAGCCTCTCTGGTCTGCCAGTCCTTTGTCACCTTGCTGTCCATGCGTACTTGAAAGTATCTGAGTGTCCACACAGCAGATGTGGGGTTTCTTTCCCACAACAACATTCAGAGTTATAGGCCACATACACACACAAAAACACGTTTTTCTTTGCAATACTTGAAATATTGCCACTGTGCTTGGTTGTACAAGAGTTGTACAAGAAAGCAGATCTCTAAGACCAGTCTCTTCCTTAGTCACCCCATGACCTCCCTTGCATGTAACATGTTGTATTTATTGCTTTGTGGCCAACTGGAACCCAGAGCCACCAGGGAGGCTAGTGTATGGGTTCCTTACCCACCACTTGGTTCCTAAAGGCTCCTGGGGTGGCTATGTATGCGTGTGGCTGGCTGTGTGTGGTATGAGCCAAACCTGCTCACTGAAGCAGTGCTCAGGCCTGTCAATTTTAAGATGAATTTTGTGAGTCTCCCCCTTTTCTGTTCCACTGTGTCATATCAGTTTAAGAAAATAAAATTTGGAATTATTTATGTGGTGTCAGTTTCATCCTGTTGTGCTACTATTCCTCCAAGAGCTGGGTATGCTTTCAGGTCGATCTTCACAGATTGTCTGTATCCGCCAGCCAAATTGAGGAGTCCCATAGGACTTCACAGTGCCAGTGCTGGCTTGCTCAGCTTTGGAAGCAATCCTCAGTTTGATCCAGGGGTGGGTTCATTGTATATTCCAGGGGGAAAAAACAGTTCCCACTGGGTCAGGTGAGGATCCAGAGAGGGTGGGGCAGTTTTCCAGGCCTGTGGAGTGGCGCATCATTGACATGCACCTCCCCCATTTTAAGAGACAATGTCTTAGGTTCCTAGGCTCAAATGATCTGTGCCTCAGATTTCAAGGCTGGGACTGTCGGGCACCCCATTACACCTGGCTTCGTTTGTCATTTTTTATTCTAAACTTCAGCAAGTATGCTCTGAGGTGCAGTTTTCACAACACTATTGACACTAACCATCTTATATGACCTCTTGGCCACTCTGTATGCTTCATTTGGAAGGATGTTCAGATCCTTCGTGCTTTCCAACCTCTTATTAAGTCAGGCTCTCAAGAATCCAGGCAGGCTGCAGACATGCTATGTATCTAAAAACAACTGAGCCACCTATTCTGCTTTTAGGTGTTGGAATCACAGATGTATATCACTGTGCATGGTTCTACTTTGCCTATGCCACACACACACCTGTTTGGGTATTTTGTTTTTTGCTTTCTCAGAAAACAGGGTTTGTTCTTCCTTAATCTGCCTGTGGCTCCCTTTGCCTGCTCCAGCATTGGGTTGCCTTTTTATTGTAAAGCACACATGTGGTTGTAAGGCTTGCATCTTAAATCTGTATTATCTTTACAGGATAAAAATAAATTATTAGGTATAGTAATGTCTATGCATAATAGTAAGCCACAGTACTAAAACTGGAAATTCACCAAGGAAGCAGAGTTCCAGAGGAAGTGGAGATGTTGATGGGATCTGAACCTCCAGCCTTCATTCAGGGTTCTGTGCTGGGTGATGTCACAACATACTAGGACCTGCTATTGAGACCCACTTCCACCCTGGGATTTCTTCACAAAACATTGAACTTTTATGTTCGTATGGCTGGACTTCTGGATGACTGTGCTGGGGTGGATACTAGCATTGTGGAGTCCTGGAGTGGACCTGACTGACTGGTTGAGGTATGAGGGTTCCTGCCACCTAAACAGCCATCAGTGTCTATCTGTGAGGCCAGGAGGTTCAGTTCTACAGAACTCAGTAGCCAGTGTTGGTACAAACTTCTGTAGTCTTGTGGCAGAAATTTCCCTGTCCAATCTATTTGCAGTGGGAGACCTGTGATTGGATAGGAAGGCGAAATGGCAGTGGACATGGACCCCCCCTGCCCCCCCCACCGTGGCTTCAAGTAGCATTAGGTAGAAAAGAAATCTAAAGGTTAGGATAACTGGGATAACTTGTCTAAATTGTGTGGACATCTTGGGATTTGAGTCTTTGCCAATATAGAAATCTGATCCGTTAACTATATGCCTTAGAGTTTTGATTTATCCACTGATACGTGTGGTGACTGATTGTGGGGGTGTACGATCCATTGTGGTGTGGAGCTAGTGTGACTGCGAGGGGAGCTCTGGAGCTCCGGCCCCACTGGAGAGCCTGCCGAGATGAGGATACCCAGCTGGGGCCGCCGTTAGTGCTGGAACATGGCAGCTAAGCCAGGAGCCAGCTGGTTGAGTTCTTTTCTAATACCTCCCGCTACAGAGTCTAACACCACGTGGTTTATTTTAGGCATGTTTAAGCACAACACAGTTTGGTGAAAACAATTCTGGTTGTAATTAACTCAAATCCACATGTACAACAAAGCATACATAAGCCTTCTTGAGGAACGAACCAAGCTAAATACAGATAGGACATGACTACATGGAAACTGTAAAGTCCATACGGATATGTTCTATAGATTTATGGAGAAAAGCAGATTTATGATAGGAGTCTAGAGAGAGGTCCAGTGCCAGAAATGTCTCTGGCCACAAACAGCACAAAGGTCACACAGCCTTTTGGGGGAGAAAACAGGTTTTGCCTTCCTTCCCTTGAAGGATTAACCAACCGTGTGTGTTTAACATTCTAGCTTCTGCTAGTGTTTATCTGTGAGCACAAAGACCTTCATGCCTCCCACATCTAGGGACCTGCATAGTTGCTTCCATGACATGCTCATATCAAAGGGTGAGGTCACACCTAAACAGCAGAGACATCAGGCTTTCTGTAACAAGGTGGGTGAAGAGATACTGGGGTGCCAAGTGCTGGGAAGGACTTTGGGGTGGGGGGTTCCTCAGTACGTGTGAAACCAGGGCAGTGTGAACTATTAGGAAATCTTCAGCACAGGCAGCTGCTTCTTCCTGTTAGCCCTTCTTCCCCAGGGTCCTTTATGCGGCTTTGCTTTCCAATGGCCAGTGGGGTCCCAACTGAATAGGGGTCACAACCAAGTCCTTTCCATGACCCATAAGGCCACTCACTCCTGGCTTTGTTTCTACCACTTATTGTTATGAGACATCCCTGTGGTTTTCCCTAACTGTAGACTCCAGAAGTGACAGTGCTGGGCCCTATTGATCTATTTATATGAAGGAACAGGTTCTGAGCTGGGTTGGCCACATTGTGGCACACTGCTGTCTAAGGGCCTTTGCACTGGTCCCTGTTCACCTTGGATTATGCTTTTCCCCCTGCATATACACGTGGCTCCCTGTCCCATTTCAAGCTGTGGTCACCTTGAGTCATGGTCCTCAGAGGTGTCCAGCCCAGTCCCCCAAGTCTCCATGTGTGGTTTTATAAATCTAACGAAGTCAAGAGTCTGAGCAGGGAAGTATTGCAGGTCAGCCAGATGGGTGTAGGAAGGATGGCTGCAAGGATGGAAGCAGAGATTGGTAAAATTCATCTCTGGAAGTGAGACAAAGGGTACATATATTCTCAAAGGTGAGAATGCTCAGGGTGAGTCAGACAGCCTGAAAATGGAGGAATGAAGTTACAGAGAAGGAACTGGGGCTTACACACCGGTGGCCGCGGGTCCGGATTTCATGCTGGCTGTGTATCACTCTTTGGCAAAATTAAAAAAATAAGAGTAACGTGTGGAGTCATATGTGGTGACTTACACTTGTAATCCCAGCACTTGGGAGGCTGAGGCAGGAGGGTTGCCAAATGTTGGAGGACAGGAGCTGGGTATGGTGGTACACACCTTTAATCCCAGCGTCTTTGAGGATATATATGAGAGAGATTTCCAGGCGGGTCAGGGCTACATAGTGAGACGGTTTTACGTCATTAAACACATAAGCGTCTGGCAATTGGAGCAGCTTCTGGAAACGACAAATGCTGGGAAACTTTATGGTCCACACACCACAAAGACAGTGGTGGAACTGCAAGAGCAGCGGTGACCTCCCAATGCCAGGGTTAGTGCCGTGGGCCAGGCAAGGACCTGCTCAGTACCCCTGAGACGGTGCTGGGGCTAACTGGGCGTCAGCAGTTATTACCTGCTGAATGGCTCCCTGGTGCATTCCGGAACTGCACGTTTTAATGATGTGGTTTCACTTTTCTAGCCGCGCCGACACTGAGCCTTTCCCTTCTCTGGAGAACTGCATCTAGACTGGCTTGGATCCCGGTGGGAAGCCCCACCCACTGGGTCCACCCCACTAGGCGCGTCCCAGAAAGACTTTTGTCCGCCTTCGGCCGCCTTCCAAAGCTTGCCCGCTTCCGCCTTCGTGCACGTGGTCAGCTTCGGGGTTCCGCGGCGCCGTGAGTGGGTCCGGCGGGACTTTCTTCCCTCCTCAAGCGCGCCGGCAGCGCGATCTCTAGGGGGTGGGGTGGGATGCACGGGGGTGGGCAGGGGCTGCGGGGTCACAGGTCAGCCTAGGATCACGGGCGCCGAAGGGCCGGAGCCAAGAAATCAGGAAGACGGGGCAGGGATTTCGGGGCTGCAGAGTTCGGCAGGGATCGCTGAGGTCCGGGGTCGGCGCCCGCCATCCCGCAGCGCATGGGTTTCCCCCGCCTTTGGGTCGCACTGCTGAGAGCCTGGGGACGGTGGACGGCGCGCCCAGGCCCGCGCGTGCCCGGGTAAAGACCCCGCGACCGGCTACCTCTGTACTGATTCTCCCACGACTGCCCTGAGCTGTCTGCCTCCTCTTGCTTACCCGTGTCTTGTTTCCATCGCTGCCTTGTGCTGACTGCCCTGCCAGAGCGCTGCCTGCTTGTGTCCAGCTCTGCCTCAAACTCCACTCTTGCCCAGCCCCAGCCGCTCTTGTCATTGAAGAACCTGGTTTGTCTTTAGGCAAGGTCTTCAGAGACCGCTGAGGCAGGCAGAGAGCTAGGCTCTCTCATTAGGCTCTGCTTTTGTACCCTTTTACCACCTTGGTCACTCATGCCTGTTTTTTTCTCAGCCTGCCGCCTATGGCTGGAAACAAGGTGCCACCAGCGCTGGCCTCACACCAACCTGACAGGAAGGGCCGAGGTGCCTGGGTCTGGGAGGAGACTGAGCATCCTGCCAAGAGAGTCAAGGGCGGTGAGGATGAAGAACCTCCACGCAAGCTGCCAAAACGCAAAATTGTGCTGCTCATGGCCTACTCGGGCAAGGGCTACCACGGCATGCAGGTGAGGAGGGCTGCGCCTAGACAGCCCCTACCTGAGTCAACCCTTGGTTCCCTGATGCCACTCAGAGCAAGCCCCATCCTAGGAAACAGCAAAAACGCAGAGTCCTCCATGACAGTCTTGGGTGGTTTTCTTCCACGATGGATGGTTAAACAGGCAGCTCTGTGGCTGATTCACATGTGACCTTGGGAGTAGTGAGTCTTCATCGTTAGGGTGGTGCCTGCACCGTACCTGGGGAACTGTGTGATGTGGGCAGGTTTACTGAGAGTGGGGACCGGATTGCTGCCAGGTGCTACCTGTCCAGCATCCTGAGGGGCCTGGGGAAAGCTAGGCTCTATCTCTAACCCACCCACTAGACTTTCTTATGAAAGCCCCCCTGCACCCCCCCCCAGCGAGCGTGGGTAGAATCTTGTTCATTCTTGTCACCTCTGCTGTTGACATTGTTTCAATTTCTGATTTTTCTTTGAGACAAACTTTAACCTTTATTATCTTTTTCTGTGTATATGAGTGGTTTGCTTGCATGCATGTCTGTGTACTGTGTGCATGTACTTCTCTCAGAGGCCAGGAGAGGGTGTACTATCCCCTGGGGTTGGAGTGACAGGCACTTGTGAGCTGCTATCTGGGTGATGAGAATCAAACCCAGTCTTCTAGAAGAACAGCCGGTGCTGGAAACACCGAGCCATCTCTCCGGTAACTTTTCCCACTTTTTAAACTTTTATCTTGAGCCACCGGATGGAGTTCATTACTGTGATGTGTCCAACCAAAACATGGCTCCAGGCATGATGACCAGGCTGACCAGGTGTGATGGTGACTTTGAAAGAATGACAGCCATGACCTAAGTCATGTTCTGTTTTATTGTTAAGGAGTTGTAGGCCAACTGGGATGATGGCACACAGACTGTCATCCTGGCATTCAGGAAGTTGATGCAGGAGGATTGCCAAGTTCAAGGATAGTCTGGGCTACAGTCGGGCTTTGTCCCTCTCCAGTAAGAAACACATAGGCTTCGAGGTGCCCTGAGAGTGGGTAGGGAGTGGTGGCTAGATGGTGCTTTTAATGTGGCCTAGGCTGTGACATTCCTGAGGACGTGCAGACTGCACTGCTTCTGGGAGACTGGTTTGCTATTGGGGAGTAGTCTTTCTCAGTAATATCCTGTTTGCCTCAGTTTCCCCGCTAGCGATATGACAGAGATGCCGGTCTCACAGAGCTGAGTGAGGGATATGGTCACTTTTTGTTATGTTTTTTGTTTTTGTTTTGTTTTTTTTTGTTTTTCGAGACAGGGTTTCTCTGTATAGCCCTGGCTGTCCTGGAACTCACTCTGTAGACCAGGCTGGTCTCGAACTCAGAAATCTGCCTGCCTTTGTCTCTCAAGTGCTGGGATTAAAGGCGCGCACCACCACTTCCTGGCTGTTATGGTCTTTTTATGTCACTTGGGAAATGTTCCTTCACGTCTGTGGCAGTGAGAAATAAAGGGTAGAGCAGGCTTTGAAAAGACTGTCTCAGCCAGGGAGTGTGGTTGAAGTTTTCACATGCCCCTCTTCCCTTGGGAAAGATCTCCCCAAGAGTCTTGGATCTGGTCTCTATTCTGAGGATCGGTGGGATGCTGATGTGTCTGACCTCATGGGGTCATGAACACCACGAACCCCACGGTTAGGGAAGGCTGAGGGACGCAGCGTTAGAGCTGGCTCCAGAACTGACGGCCAGCTTTCGGGCAGGCATCCATCTCAAGAGCTCTTGAAAACGGGTTATCCGCTTTTTTTTCTTTAGAGGAATCTGGGGTCCTCCCAGTTCAGGACCATCGAAGATGACTTGGTATCTGCCTTAGTCCAGGCAGGTTGTATCCCCGAAAACCACGGCACAGATATGAGGAAGATGTCCTTCCAGCGGTGTGCTCGCACAGACAAGGTATGTTGTGTCCTGCCACTTTCACTGTCCCATGGTCTCAGGGTCCACCTGTCAGAAGGGATCCTAGCCAGGGCTCACACCTGTTGAGTCACGATAGCAACTTTGATGGTAGTGACGCGGTTTGTGTGCTGTCTTACTTACAAAAGAGCTTAGGTTGGCTTGAGTTGGTGGCGCTTGTCTGTCATGTCGGTATTTGAGGGAAAGAGCATATTGTTTTGTTGTACAGAGGGACCAGGAGTGCAGATTACTAAGCTGGTGCTGCATCCTGGGTGGGCTGCACAAGACCCTGTCTTCACCGGCCTTTGCTTTCCTTGGATAGTTCTGAGAAAAAAAATTAAGAAGAGGGATGATTTATTGGGTTGTAGAGAGAATTTGGCAGCTAAGAACAATTACTGCTCCTCAGAGGATTAGGGTGTGGTTCCTAACACACACATCCTGGGGCTCATACCTCCCATAACTCCAACTCCAGGGGATCCAATACCTCTGGCATTTTTGGGTACCTGTGCACATAATTATGCATATAGGGAATGTACAATAGTTAAAAATTTAAAAAAGAGAGATGACTAGCTTGGTGGTGGTGGTGCATGCCTTTAATCCTAGCACTCAGGAGGAAGAGGCAGGTTGATCTCTGAGTTCGAGGCCAGCCTGATCTACAGAGTGAGTTCCAGGACAGCCAGGGCTATATACACTAGTCTGGAATGTAACAGGTTCAGGGCAAAGACCACCGGAGGCTGTTTTGGTTCTAAACAAGGCAGGTCTCACAGTGATTGCAGTTCCAGCTTTCAAGAGAAACAGATTATGAACAGTAGCCAACAGTGAGGTTTGTACCAGTGTGCCCGGCCTCTGGCATTTCTTCTATCTGTTCCCATAGCCTTTGGGGACCTCTGCCTGATTTTGCCTGTACATTGGCTTCCTCCTCTACTAGGTAAGGCTAATCCTAACAGTCTGTATCATTTATCTACACAGCCAAGATGTGTTCATTGCAACTTGCAGTCACTATGAGTGCCTACCAGTGGGAACTGTCTTCCCTGTGTGGGCACTAGGACTTTTTAAGTTATAATTCTAATAATTGCATTATCATCATCATTATTGTGTGAGTGTACACAAGTGGACGTCAGTCCTCCATGGGTTCCAGGGATTAGGTCCACAGGCTTGCGTGGCAGTGTTACTACATACTCGGCCATCTCTCCTGCCTAGGTGAGAGGTCTTTGACAACATGGTGTGCCTACATGATAGTCATATTGCCACATGGCTCATTCCACAGAAGAGGCTGCCTGTGACTGATGGCCTAGCTTTTGTACTTTACGTCACCAGAACAAGTCCCACTGTCTCTGATTGATGTATCCATCCTGGACTCAGTTCCTAGTTGATGGTGGCACTTGGGGGGCACATCTTGAGAGGATACATCACATTCTCCAGGCCCGGGACATACAAAACCATACGACTGGGCCCTCGTTGGTAGGTCTTTATGATTGGGTTGACCTCTGAAGGATCCTGCTGTGTATAGGTCAGAGTGATAACAGATATTCCCTAGTACAGCCAGGCATGGTGGGGCAAGTGTCCCAGAACTTGGGAGAACTCCAAGTTTGAAGATAGCTTAGGCTGTAGAGTTCAAGGCCAGTCTTTGGTATATAGCCGAATACTGTCTTATGAAAAACAAGAAGTAACACTGGACCTTCGTATGCACACTTGTCATCTCAGAAGGAGGGGAGGGATTGTGGCAAGACTGTTATCAGTTGGAGGTTAGCTTGATGTACGTGAGAGAGTTCCAGGCCAGCTAGGGTCATGTATGGAGACCCATTCCCAAAAGCACCCCCCTCTTCCTCCTCAGGATCAGGTGTGAGGTTGTGTTGGAGGACAAGGCCCCTTACCCACCTCTCCTCTCTGCTCTGTTTTCTTTCCAGGGTGTGTCTGCAGCTGGGCAGGTGGTATCCCTAAAGGTGTGGCTAATTGATGACATTCTGGACAAGATCAACAGCCACCTTCCATCCCACATTCGGATTCTGGGTAAGCTTCCCTGTGCTACCACCTGAGTGGCCTCATGTGGACAGAGGCTGTGTCTGCCCTGCCGTCTCTAGCCGAGCTGGTACTCAGTAGGTGGCAGGGTGCTGTGAAGGTTTGGTGTTGTTCCCTCAGGACTGGCTAGCTGAGAGAACGGTTCCACCGCCTTTGGCTGTACTGCTCTGATAATCTGTGGGTACTTTTCTCACAAATGGTGGTTATGAGCGTGCAGAGAGTTAAAGTGAGGCCAGCGGTGTTCTCTTGTAACAGGACTGGCAAATGGACTTTTAGAACCTGGAGCCTTATGTTTGTTCGAAGTGCTATTTCTGGCCCCTTTAACTTCTTTTAATTTTTTTTTTTCCCTTTTTTTGAGACAAGGTCTTTTTGCGTAACCCTGGCTGTCCTGGAACTCACTAGATAGACCAGGTTGGCCTTGAATTTACAGAGAGCTGATTACTTCTGCCTCTTAGTGCTTAAATGCGTGCACCTCCACACCTGGCTTAAAAAAAAACAAAAACAAAAACAAAAAAAAAAAACCAACCAACTTTGTATTTAATTAAGTTATTTATTTTGTTGGCAATGCTAGGGCTTAAGTCCAGGGCCTTGTACACACTGGTCAAATTTTTCTTCCCTCTTCCTCCCACGATCACCCCCTAACCCTCATCTCTAGGTAGGCTCTTATTGTGTAGTCCTGGCTGGTCTGGAGCTCTGCTGTATAGACAAGGAAGACCTTGTACCCACAGAGATCTGCCTTCTGAGTGCTGGGATTGAAACATTTAGTACTAGTCAAGTTTTCTGTCTCTGAGCTGTACTCTCTAGCCCACTTTTTTTTTTTTTTTTTAAAAAAAAAAAAAAAAAGAAAAAGAAAAGCTGTGTTAAGACTATGGCGAAAGCAGGGAGTTCTTGTCCATCCTGGCCACAGAGTAAAACTCTCTCAAGAATAAAATCAAACTAAGTAATACATAAACGAACAAGCAAGCAAGGACGGCCTTTTGAAGGCCTTGCTGTTTGTTGCCTCCATGCTGTTCTTGGGTTTGTGGTCTTCGTGCCTCAGCCCGGATGCTGGATCAAATGTGCACCACCATGCTTGGCTAGTGGAGTGCAGTTTTATTTGGTTTAGTGTTTTTCTGTTCTGAGGACAGTTTCATCCTGGGGTTTTTCAGAGTAAACTCTATAAAAGTCACTTTTGGTTGCCTTGGGTGTGTCTTGCCATTCATGTCCAGGAAGAAAATTTAATAAATTACCTGGGAAGAACCTCTAGTTTGGTGTTGGGTTTTTTTTGTTTTTTGTTTTTTTTTTGAAACAGAGTCTTACTAGCCTTGCTAGCCTTGGCTATCTTGGACCAGGTAGACCAGGCCAGCCTCTTGATTCCTGGGTGCTGGGATTAAAGGCGTTTGCCACTAACTTTTTTTTTTTTTTTTTTTTTGTTTGAGAATTTCATACATATATATGAAGGGTTTGATCAGAATGTCCCTAATCTCTCCTTGCTTCTTTTTTTTAAAATTTATTTATTTATTTATTTATTTATTTATTTATTTATTGGTTTTCCGAGACAGGGTTTCTCTGTGTAGCCTTGGCTGTCCTGGAACTCACCCTGTAGACCAGACTGGCCTCGAACTCAGAAATCCACCTGCCTCTGCCTCTCATGTGCTGGGATTAAAGGCGTGCGCCACCACCGCCCGGCTCCTTGCTTCTTTTGTATAACTTTTCTCCTGACTTGGTGCCCCTTGCATGTATAGGAGCATCAGCTGGAGCATGGGTAGCCTCTCTGGGGCTGCATGCCTAAAGAAAATTGATTCTCTTTGCCCAGCAGCTGTCAGTTGCCAACAGCTCTTCGGCTAGGGGTGAGAACCTACAGTTTTATTCAGTTCGAGTTTTCTTGTTGTTGAAATCTTCTGTATCTGTAGAAAGACTTCTAGTATTCTAGGTACTAGCTACTACTACTTTGATGGCTCATGACTGAAGGCCTGGTCAAAAGCTGCACTACAGATTAAAAAAAAAAGATTTATTTTATGTGCATCGGTGTTTTGCCTGCATGTATGTCTGTGAGAGGGTGTCAGGTCCTCTGTAGCTGGAATTACAGGTAGTTGTGAGTTGCCATGTGGGTGCTGGGAATATAATCAGGGTCCTCTGGAAGAACAGCCAGTTTTCTTAAGTGCTGAACCGTCTCTCCAGACCTGCGCTGCAGATTTTTAACCTGGACTTGGTGTATTTGTCAATTCCACTCTCAGCAGGTTTCTTTGTCATTTGGGGTTTGTTTCATTCTGACCTTCAGTAGATTCTGAGTTTGGACTCCTTTCCTGGGCAAGTGGTACCAGAACAATGCTGTCAGTCTGTCCCCCACCTTGGAAGTGTTTCTGCTCACCAAAGTTTCCTTTAACCTGTCCCCAAGGATTGAAGAGGGTCACAGGCGGGTTCAACTCCAAGAACAAGTGTGATGCCAGGACCTATTGCTACATGCTACCTACCTTTGCCTTTGCTCACAAGGACCGGGATGTACAGGATGAGAGCTATCGCCTGAGCGCAGAGACCCTGCAGCAGGTCAACCGGCTTCTGGCCTGCTACAAAGGCACCCATAACTTCCATAACTTCACCTCGCAGAAGGGGCCACGAGAGCCCAGTGCACGCCGCTACATTCTGGAGATGTACTGCGAGGAGCCCTTTGTACGTGAGGGCCTGGAGTTTGCTGTGATCAAAGTGAAGGGCCAGAGCTTCATGATGCACCAGATCCGGAAGATGGTTGGCCTGGTGGTAGCCATTGTCAAGGGTTATGCCCCTGAGAGTGTCCTGGAGCGCAGCTGGGGCGAGGAGAAGGTGGATGTGCCCAAGGCCCCAGGGCTTGGCTTAGTCCTGGAGAGGGTTCACTTTGAGAAGTACAATCAACGCTTCGGCAGTGACGGGTTACATGAGCCCCTAGACTGGACGCAGGAGGAGGGGAAGGTGACTGCTTTCAAAGAACAATACATCTACCCGACCATTGTCAGCACTGAGCGGGATGAGCGGTCCATGGCCCAGTGGCTTAACACTTTGCCGATCCACAACTTCAGTGGCACTGCACTTGGAGCGGCTGACAAGGGTGCCAAGGTAGGAGTTGGGTCTAGAGTGTGCACGGTTTGCATATGTGCACTCATTAGCTGGGTAGGCTGAGCGAGAGGTAACAAGCTAAGTCGCAGGGAATCCCCAAAGTCGCATGCACAGCCCCTGGAGGAGTGGGCCACCTCCTGCTTCTGCCCCACGCCTTGGTCTTGGCTGCCTGTTGAAGTAGTGGTCGACCCCTAGGCAAGGTTTACTCTCGGGTTGGTATTGGGCTGCACCTCTAAAGGCATAGTAGGCTGCTTGTCCCTCCTTGTTCAGCTTTGGTCTGTTCCTGTGGCCTTCCCTCTAGTAGAGAACCTTTGCTCAGAACAAGCACTTGGCACTATACCCAGGGTTCCATTGTTTTTCCCTATGCCCACACATGGGAGTGCTTACAAGTTGGGTCTCACGCTCCTTTTCCTGTTTGCCCCTTTCCTGCAGGTCCCCAGTTCCCTGGAGGGCAGTGAAGGGGACGGAGACACTGACTGAAACCATATGTAGATCCTGCGACTGCTATGAGTGCTGAGGCTGGAATCTCTGCACCTGCCTGTCACCCAGGACGGGGAGCCAAGAATTCAGGGGCCAGCTCGTGGATGTAGCCTGGCTTCATAACCTCAGGATATTAAATTCTCATCCCAGGAATCAGCTGCCTATTTTAGCCCATGCATTGTGTGTATACACCTTAGCATGAAAGGACACTTTTTAAAAAAAAAAAAAGAAGTGATTTTTTTCCTATTAAATATGTTTTGCTTAGTGAATTATTCTTTTTCTATTTTCCTTTTCTGGTTGTGAGATGAGTGGAACATTGTTGTGTTGGGCATAGCTGAGGTGCACAGAGGGTCAGCACGGAGTGTGGTTGACTGGGCAGGCAGTCTGCTCCCAGCTGATACTGACTCTCTTCTATCCGGACCGATCCTTTGAGACTATTCCAGTTTTCTCTGAAGTGGCTACACTGGTGATTTCATGCTGCCTGTTCCTGGGGAGACCTCGAGTGGGACTGTGCTTCAGCAGCCCACTTTCATGCCCTAGTGTTCTTCACCTCCTTCTGGGTCTCCTTTCTTATGCTGTGTGACAGTTGGTGGCTCCCACGTATCCTTCCTCACTGGACACCCACGCATGGCCACTCCCTGAGCATTAGACTTGGAATGCCCCTTCAGCCCCATGTACTCCTCCCAGACTTTTCTTGCCTTGCATGGGTGAGGCATTCTCAAATTTCTAGCACAGTCAGTGTTACAGGGCCCTTAGACCTGCACAGATGGCTTCTTCCCGTGACCTGCATTTTCGGTTGGTTTGGAATGGCAAGCAAGCCGGGCAGTGGTGGCGCACGCCTTTAGTCCCAGCACTTGGGAGGCAGAGGAAGGCAGATTTCTGAGTTTGAGGCCAGCCTGGTCTACAGAGTGAGTTCCAGGACAGCCAGAGCTACACAGAGAAACCCTGTCTCGAAAAACCA